TATAACATCTATCTGCATAAATACAGGTCTGAGTTATGAAGGAATATCTAATCTTAGAACAGCTTGTTCTGATAGAAGAATCAGGAAACTATATGCAACATCAGTGCAAACCCATCATTTTTCCTGACATGGTAGACCTTTCATACAGAGATGACTATGAATACCCATGTTGCTCCTACAAGAGGTTAAGAAATCTATTTTTTCCTTCTCTCAGTCTGGAAAAGAACAAGCTTTGTGGGAGAGAAGAAATTCTGGTAAGCAGAGAGCACTTAGAGAAGAAAAAAAAAATATTCTGTGTATAATCCCCTGGAAGGCCCTGTATAGCTCTCTCCACATAGCAGCAAGAAGCTCATGTGCAGCAAGGTGGTACCTGGGAAACCTGAAGAACAATATTCAGAGTCTGGCTGCTCTCTAGGCCAACCAGTGGGTGTTGCAGCATTGTCAGAATGAAGGGTTAGTTAACAAAATCAGTCATTTCAGTTATCTCCATTCTGTTATCTTCTTGTATTCACAAATATTATGTCTACAGAACACTACAGCCTCCAGTGTGTCGGTGTCTACTAAACTCCTGCTCATTATCCACAACAAAGATGACAAGTGGGATGTTCAACCGTCATTGTAACATGCAATACTGAAATTTTGCATGAGGTCAGGTTTAAAATAGTATATTTACATACTGTTTTAAGAGTAATAAAGCCACATTTACCTAGTTTGAGCAGTGCATATGTGAATATTTAAAACCTTCTGATAATTCTCTTCTATGAATATACTTTTTAAGTATGTTTTTGAGGGATACCTAAAATGATGATCTAGCATTGTGACAAGTTTTAATGGATAGGAAAGTATCTGGATTGATGGATGGCAACACCAGCCAAGTGTCTTTTGCCTGTTTATTAAAGGTATTCCCTGGAAAGATCTTTGCTGTCTGAGGGCTTGAAATCTAGACTGAACAGATCTGGCTGGCCCTTGGACACCCAGCCCCCCTCCCATGCTGTGTAGTGTAGCTATTTATGAACAAATGGGTTTCTGCCTGCCTGAAGACAAAGGGCTGCTCTGTGCTAAATGGGGTACAGATCTCAAAAGAGCAGTAACGTGACAAAGGATGCAGCTTCTGCTGCTCAGACCATTGGGGCTCTGTGCTGGAAAGCCCTCAGGGCCTGCCTTTGAGGCAGGTGAGCAGTCCCAGGCAATCCAGCAGAGTGATGTCAAGTTAAGGGGGTGCAGGTGTGTACTTAATAAGCCTTTACTGGCTTTCTCTTGTTTTTGATGAGCGGAACCAAAAACGTTTGGATCAAAAACGTGGAAGGCCAATACTACCTCACCTGCTTCCCGAGCTTCACCCTTTTAAACTGCTACAAGCCACCATTCATGTGCGTGGCTGGAAGCTGCATGAGTTCCCAAGCTTGGCTTCTTTTCAGGTCAAGCCCTGCAGAAAACTAATAATTAGAAAAATAATATAGTGTAATGAAATGTTCTTCTGGAAATACAGAACTGTACATAAACACTTGGATAAGTAGAAGATAATTACTGGTAAATTCTGCTTCTTGTTTCCACCATAAAGGCTATATGACAATTTCAGGGTTTTGCTAACACTTGAGATACCAGCATCCCTGTGGTGCCGCTGGACCTCTGCGAGCCGCGGGGCTGCGGGGCTGGCAGAGCAGCGGTGCCGGGCAGCGCCGCGGCCGTTCAGGGTCACTGTCCGGGCGGGCAGCGCGGCCGGGAGCCGCCGGGAGCGGCCGGGAGCCGCCGGGAGCCGCCGGGAGCGGCCGGGAGCCGCCGGGAGCGGCCGGGAGCGGCCGGGAGCCGCCGGGAGCCGCCGGGAGCGGCCGGGAGCCGCCGGGAGCGGCCGGGAGCCGCCGGGAGCTGCCGGGAGCGGCCGGGAGCCGCCGGGAGCCGCGCCGGGAGCGGCCGGGAGCCGCCGGGAGCGGCCGGGAGCGGCCGGGAGCGGCCGGGAGCGGCCGGGCGCGCTCGGTGTGTCCGCGGCGCTGCGGGCCCGGCCGGCGGCCGCGGAGCGCGGTGGCCGCTCGCACTCTCGCGCTCTCGCCCTCGGACGAGCGCTCCGCGCCGCGCCCCCGCCGCAGGGGAGCGAGGGGCCGCAGCGCGGTCCCGCGGCCCCTCCCTGCTGCCGAGCGGCGGCGGCTCCGCTTCCCCCGCGGGACTGCGCGGGGGACCCGGTCCCGCCCCGGGGGCGGTCGGGGGCGGCCGGCCCGTCCCCTTTAAGCGGCGCGGCGGAGGGTCCCGCCCGCTCATTTCCGAGCACGCAGGAAGTGGAGGCGGCTCCGCGCCGGCCCGCGCGGTGAGTACGGCGGCGCCGCGCCCCTCGCCCTCCCGCTGCCCCGCTCCTCCCGGCCCCGCGCCCCCCACTGCCCGCCGCTCCCGGCCCCCGCCGGTACAAGGTGCCGCGCAGCGCCCCCGAGCCCTCCCGGCCGCGGGCAGCGGCACCGCGGCGGGCCCGGCCCCGTGTCCCGGCCCCGTGTCCCGGCCCCGTGTCCCGGCCCCGTGTCCCGGCCCCGTGTCCCGGCCCCGTGTCCCGGCCCCGTGTCCCGGCCCGGAGCGGGCTGCGGCCGGACCGAGCGGCCGTGGGTCCGCGCAGCCGGCACCGCCGCGGCTTGTCCCGGCCGCCCTGACGAGGCGGCCCGGCACAGCGGGCCGCTCGGTTGTACCGTAGCGCAGTCTCAACAATAAACCGAACCTGTCCCTCTCGGCTGCGTTTCCATTGTGTTGGCGGCCGTGGGCGTGCTGGGAGCGCGTTGGTGCAGCCGCAGGCAGCGGGATGCAGCGGGCGGCCCCCCCGCACGGCGCGGCGCTGGAGCGGCGCGGGGCAGCGCCCGGCCGGGCTGGCTGCGGGGGCCTTTGGGCTTGCTGGGGTCGCGAGAAACCCCCACTCCTCACACCAACCCCCCAAACAGGCGAAGTGATGATGAGGGTGCTTAATTATCCTCGGTGGAATGGTGAGCATTGTTTAAACTACTCGTTACATCTCCGTTTTTGTCAGATGCGTTCTTGCTCGGTAAATTCTGTGCTCTCGCAAACTGTGAGAGTTTGGTATTGAGCATAAAAATAAATTGTGTAGTTGTCACTAGTCAATTAAGTCAGAAATGCTAAAGCAGAAATGGGGGATGTTGCAATTTTCAAGACCTTTTTAAACCGAAGTATGTAGAAATTTAAACTTGGTAGTCCATGTTTTCAGTGAAGTGTAATCAGTGTTTACTTTATTATGTGGTTTTTGTTGTTTGTTTGTGCTTTTTTCTCTTCAAGTCCCTCTGTCAGGTGGAATTTGAGACACTGATCTCTTCTGCTAAACTTGTAGATGATGGATAAGGACTAACTTTATTGTCTTCTTTCCGGTAACTCAGAAGAACTGCAGAAAAGAAAGGTTGTTTCAACACTGAGTCAGTATTTCTCAGTTTAAGGTCATACAGTAGAAATACCTTTTTTTCTCCCTGTTTCTTTTCCATGGAGGCTGTAATGCTAGGCCTTGTAGGATAGTTTCTTCTTTTCCAGCATGCACTAGCTGCAAGTTCCTATCTTGCTTTAGTGTGTTTGAAGGAAACTTCTGGCTTCCCTTTATTAGCTAGATAGAGGGTCCCCAAGGAGCACCAAAGACAGCAGTTTGGAAATATTCCCAGTAGCTGTCAGTGGAGGTAGGTGCGTTTTGCAGAGAGGTGTTAGCTACGAGCCTCAATTAAACCCTGAGGCTTTTGTGGGAGACTCTACCAGTGAGTCCTTATCAGAAATATCAGGAGACCTGCACTGAGCATTGCTACAGCATCAGTGTCCTAAACCATCAGTAGCTGAACATGGGAGGAGGAATGGTGGTGGTTGTTGAAGTGCATGACTGTATAGCCCAAATAGATATTCTTTAGCTTGTCTGTTGCTGGAGAAAACATGTGAGAACTTCAGTGTGATTAAGATTAGTTGATCTTGAATAGTTCTTTTCCTTCTTGATCCCATGACTTAGTTTTAGCGTTTTTCTCAGGCTTAAGGAAGGAAGGAATAAAGGAGAGAAAGGAACCCCCAAACCTGTTGGTACAGCTGCTATATTGTGGTAGAAGTTGCACCAAATTACCCTTGAATGTAAATTCTTTGCTTTTATGTTCCAACCCCAGGATATGGGTCTTCCCAAATCAGTGAGAAATATCATCTGAGGGCATGGTTAAATAATAAGTAGCTGTGGTCTCTTACCAAGAAAACCCACAAGCATATTTGGCACAAGAATTTCAACCCCTGCATCACAATCTGCTACTTCATGCTTGCCAGAAGTGTTCTGTGGACCTCTTTATAAAAAGAATCCATCAGAATTACCTGAACTTTTAAAAGAGATAAAACTCAACTCCCAGGAGGGTGGGTATGAGAAATATGAGGTCAGTTTTTTTCACTGCAGAAAACAAATTGCACAATATTTTTCTTGTCTTTGAAGCAGCCTGTCGTTATGAAGCAAGCTTCATGACTTGCAGTATTTTCTCCTTAAATAATGCGGAAATAGGATCACAGAGGTGGGATGAAAGTCAGGCTTTGGAAAAGTGCTGGAACTGATAATGTCCTTGGCTTTTTGTTAGTTCATCTGTCCTCTGAAGGATTAGCCATTCAGAATAAAAGTATGGAAAAAGTCCATAGTAATTTTGCTTCTGCAAAAAATAATGTAGAAAATAGGCAGGGGTTTCAAGAGTACAAGACTTGAAAAAAAATAATAAAAGTCATTCTCAAAGGACACATTGGGAAGAAAATATTTTCAGGAGCATATTGTTTTTAGAAAAAAGACCAAACCACAAATAACTGTGCCTTATCTATGTATCTAATTATGCTCTTTTAAGATTAGTGCTGGAAATGGGGAAATGAGACCAGAACTCACAAGGTGTTTATAAAAGAAATAAAATGTTTTTTGGAAGGGAATGGGAATATAGTTTTATTTCTGAGTTGGAACCACAGCTTGTAAGAAGAAATCTGTGGAAGGGCACTTCTTACTGTCTGCCAGAACAGCTTCATTCTGAATTATGATTAGAAAAGCCCAGCAGATCCATTAATGTTATAGCTCATGAAAAAAAATCTGAAAGTGTGCAATTACTTTAATATCTTTAATTTCTTTTTTATTAAGCTCTTTAAAATTCTGGTTTTGAGGGCAGGAAAAAATCTGTAAGTTACAGCCCTCCAGTCATGAGTGCCTTTCAGTGCAAAAGTAGTTGAATAGGGTACTGGTTTAGACCCTGGTTTAGAGGCCCATTTTGGGTACAGCTAGCTTCTGCTTTTATCCAGGCCTTTAAAAAAATTTATTGTAAGGCTGCAGATATTTTGTGTGTACTTAAAAATGTAGACAGGCAAGTTGTGCAACTTAGTATATCTTGGGTATCTAATACTTTGTGGTGTGTATAGTCTAAATTGGTGATTTTGATGGTCACTGCTAGCTGAGGAATTTTGTTTTAAAGAGAGTAACAAGATAATCATTGCAGTGACTGTATGTAGTCACTACAGATGTGGCATTCAAGGAAAAAGGAAGACTGCTTTTTTCCCCTAATCCTTGAAGGTGCTGCATGTGGATACATGGCATACTAAAATACTTGTGAGAAGCTTGCACTCTCTGTGCTGACACTGGGCTGTCTATGCTGCAGCTCTGGGTTATGGTAAGGCTGGCAGGGGCCACTTGCTCCACAGTTATTTCTGAAATGGGGTGTGGTGGAATAATATCTTGAAACAATCTCTGCTTTACCTTACTTGTTTTGAAGGCTCTTTCCATTCGCACACCAAATCCTCTAAAAGCAAGTTGGTAAAACTGGCAAGTTATTTCAAGCTGTGAGTGCAAATGTGAGCTCTGGAAAGAGCATCAATAGAGTTTGTGTTTCAGAGTGAAGTTCAGAGAATCCAAATCAGATGCTGTGAGGAAATCTTCTATGTACTTTTTAAATCTATTTCCAGACAATCATCTCCATCTGTAATAAAAAGTGACTGTAGCGGTTGGCCTGTTTACTGATTTGTGGCTGCCTGCAGTGTAGGTGCTTTCCAGCATGGTGCTCTTGGGTCTGATTGCTTCCTGTAGCCTTTCTGTGTTCCTTTGTTCTGGAGCCCATCTCCCTGCCCAGCCTGCAGTGGAGGGTGCCTGTGTCTTCTTAGGGAGGTGCATTTGAGGAGAGTGTTGGCAGCTGTGTTGGTGGGTGACAGCAGGGGCAGAGCTACTTCAGCCTTTTCCTCCCTTTAATTCTTTCACTGGTGGAGTGAGTGGGTGGTGAAGGGCAGGTCTGTCTGGCTTTTGTTCTTACCTTACCTCCTCCCCTGTACTAAATGGTGGTGTTTCACTGGTGAAGCAGCTCCTGGCAGAGGATCCTTCCCATTTGGTACTGGGCTCTCTGGTAGGGATGTCACTTGGGGCAGCTGTCCAGAAAGCACAGATCAGCACCCAACAGCCACCATATGCATCCTGCTGTCAAAAGTGAGGCTTCCCATCAGCTCCTCTACCACAGCCTTAAATAACCTAAAATGTCCATCAATGCATTTCTTCAATAGATGGAGGGCTAAGAATGTTTACCTGTGGGAGTCTGAGTAGAAGTACACACTTGGCAAAAAGGAAGTGCAGAATGGAAGTGCTGTAGCTGTCTCAGCAGTGTAGGCATGGCTGGACTGATGCTGGGGGAGGGTTTGGTGGGCAGACACTTTCGGTACTTATTCTCCCAAAAACTAGGGAAAGTAATTTTACTCTTCTCCGGCATACTGGAGGGAATTTCTGTTCAAGGAAATCAATGTGCCAGTTGTAGAGCAGAAGTAAAACTCTCTCATGGCTAACATATCCTCTGGAGATGGGTCCTACCCACATACTTTAATGGCTGTCACCAGCAGCAGTCTGTTTTTGCTGAATGTAGCTCCAGGCTGGTTCTCACGTGTTCAGAGTTTAAATAATACAATGCAGAACATGTAGGAATTAAAAGTAGCTTAGAAATACAATACTTACAGTTATTGCATTTCCAAGTAAAATTGCTGAACAGATGAGGTTCTTTTATATAGACACCTGCTTCTTGTACTTAACTCTGACAAATGAACATCAACCACAAAATGAGGTTAGTATGTCTGCACTGTTAATGTGCTTTTTGTCAGGACAATAGATGAATGCTATAAAACCAAAATTATAGGACACCTGAGTTTTCTAAAAAGCTGTATATGAGCCTACAGCAGTTTTGTATTGACTAGTCCCAGTTAATTGTGTAAAGAAAAGGACCCTAATAGTTTTTCCAATGCCAGTTGCCAGAGACAGTTTCTGCCTTGCAGGTGTGTAATTGCAGGAAGACATGAAAATTTAAAGCTGATGGCTGAGATGCTGCTGTACAGAGGTTCTGAGCTCATTCTGTGTAGATGTTTTGCTTGTAGTGTGTTGTGTGTGATAGTTCGGTAACCAGGCAGATTTTCTGCTCCCCCAGTGTTGGTGTGTGGTGTTTGCGTCTTCTCCGTAGAAACTGCAGAAATAATACTTAGAGAATTCTGGGTGGAGTTTTTGTTGCTGCTGCAGGGCAGGTGCTGAGCAGTGATGCACAGGAAGCAATTGAAGCTTGTTGGGAGCACTGCTGAATTAAAGCAGAGGAAATGATGTAAATGAGCTTGTGTTTTGAAGCACACTGTGAAAACACCAAGTGCTAGTCTTGAGCAGTCGTTCAGAGTAAACCCACAGTTCTGAGGCTAAGTCATAAGTTTCTGTGAAATAAAATCTGTCCTGTAAGAGTGTTTTGGGTGACAGCTTTCAGATGACTTGTGGTAGCGCTTCTGCTGTCTCTCAAGCAGTGGTGTCAAAAAGGATGGCACTTGACAGCACTGTTGATGTTGCTCACTGCCCCAGGGTCAGCAGATGCCTTGCATGTCTTGTGCTCTGGTAGAGTGAAAATTAAGACTGCTGAGGGTAGTACAGTCCATCTTTTGTGTGCTCTGTGAGTTTCTGATACACATAGGAGTCTTCTGAAGAAGACACATACAATTT